TGGTGGGTCCAAGAGTAGCCTACTCTAATACCATGTTAGAATACTAGCGAGAATGACGAGAATGAATGACTAGGAAAGGGGGAGGGTCCTTGGCGAGGAAATCGGGGGGAAGCGCGGCACGGTAGCGGAGATCACTAGTACGGAGGTGAGTGATGAGGTCAGCTACAGTGGCAAAGGCGGACAGATCGGGGAAGAGATAGGGCAGCGTGAGACGGCCTATCGCAGCAGTAGCAGGGGAGGAGTAGCGCGCAACTACAGCATCGTACAGCTCCTAAGCGGTCTTATGCTGGCCAAAATGCTCGCGCTCATCTAACGGCAGGTGGCTGCGAACGGCTAGGCGAGCATGAGCGTCACGGGTCTGCCACTGTGAGCGAGCCGTACTGTCAGCAATAGCAGCAGGTGCGAGAGCAGCTCCGGACGTGTGGTCAAACAGGGAAACATCGTCCTTGGCAGTGATCTGGAGGAACAGGTGCAGGTCATCGAGCCAGACGTCAAACTTAATCGGACGGCCCTCAGCGTCAATAGTGAGAATGGTAGGACTGGCCATAGTAGCAGTAGCAGCAGCAGTAGCAGCAGTAGTAGCAGGAGTAGGTGCAGCAGTAGCTGCAAGGAGGGCAGGGCGGCACGACTCAGGCTAGGCGGCTCGGCTCAGACAGGGCGGCGCGGCTCGGGTGGGCGGGGCTGCGCGGCGCGACTCGGGTCAGCGGGGCCGTGCGGGGCCGTGCGGGGCAGCGGGGCCGTGCGGGGCCGTGCGGCGCGCCTCGGGTCAGCGGGGCCGTGCAGGGCCGTGCGGGGCCGTGCGGGGCTGGGCGGGGCAGCGGGGCCGTGCGGGGCAGTGGGGCCGTGTGGGGCCGTGCGGGACAGCGGGGCCGTGCGGGGCCATGCGGGGCAGCGGGGCCGTGTGGGGCCGTGCGGGACAGCGGGGCCGTGTGGGGCAGCGGGGCCATGCGGGGCCGTGCAGGGCAGCGGGTTGCACTGGCGGGCCGCACACGAGCTGCGCGAGCAGCTGACGGGCCGCGCGCGGGCTGCGCGAGCGGCTGACGGGCCGCGCGCGGGCTGCGCAAGCGGCTCGCGGGCTGCGCGTGGGCGACGCGCGCCTCTAGCGGGCTGCGCAGCCTGCTCGAGAGGTGCGCGCGGGCAGCGCGGGCGGTTGGCGGGTGGCGCACGGGGCTGCACGGGGCTGCGAGGGGCTGCGTGCGGGGCTAGTGGGCAGCGCGCAGCAAGCAAAAAACAAAGGGCGCACGAGGGCACAGGCAGGAAGCGCACGAGGGCACACAGGCAGTAGGCAGTAGTAGCAGTGGTGGGCCCTAACAGCAGTCGGTCCTATGTGACTAACCTAGGCTCGTAATACCATGTCAGAATGAGAGGAATGAGATAAACTAACAGCATTGGGAGTACAAGTAGGAAAACCTAGAATGTTGTACCCCCTAAGGCTAAACCCACTATAGCCTACAGAATAGTAACATATATAATGTTTGACATACTCCTACCCGACGGAAGAGAACTTCAACGAATGCGAGGAACATGCCTCACCTGCCCCGAAGCCGACTTACCGCATCAGCCTTTCGTCCCTCACCACAACCCAAGTGCACCGGCATACGCACCTCTGGAGAAGGTTTACAGCGATATATTGTACAATCGCGAGCCCGGTCAAGGAGCGTACAACTACGTTATCACCTTCATCGACGCTGCCACACGATACGTTTGGCATCTCAACCTTCCGAGTCGTGACATGGCCTTCGAAGCCTTCGTCACCTGGCTCCCAGTAGCAGAACGAGAGTCAGGGGTAAAGCTGAAAAGTTTCCAGTCAGACGGGGGAGGAGAATACACATCACAGAGGTTCATCCAGTACCTAGCGGAGAGAGGCATCAAGAGACTCCTCTCTCTTCCCTACGCTCGTCAACAGCAAGGTGTGGCAGAAAGGATGAACAGGACCCTCCAGAACACCATGCGCAAGCTGCTACGTGGCATGCGGCTACCCAACCACCAGTGGCCTGAGGCGATGGACCACGCTGTCCTCCTGCACAACTTGCTCTCATCATCATTGCTCCTGAACAATGCATCACTGCATCTGCTGTGGACAGGAAAATTGGGCAACACAAAAATGTTACGAGTGTTCGGCTGCATGGTACAGTACCGACCTTCAGCTGCACGCGCCGGTCGATTCCCCCAACGTGCACAATGGGGACTACACCTGGGCATCGAAAAACATTACAACGTATGGAAGATCTTCGACATCAATACCAAGGAAACAGTGGCAGCACGTGATGTCATTTTCTACGAACGTCTTACCCTTCCAACGTACATGTACAACCTGGACACCTCACGGGATGTCACAGGCGGATTTCGTGGGCACCGAGCCTTCGCTTCGGTAGAAGACGAAACTGACCTGGACGAGCAGACCATGGACGGAGCTTCGGAAGAAGCCGGACCTCTTCCCTACTGCTCGGTGGACATTCCAATGGACGAAGAAAATACACGTGACAGCATCAACGCCGAGGTCTACTATCACTTCGCCGACAATGGTTACGTTACACCTGCACAAGTCAACACCAACGAAGCAGAACGCGTAGGACCAAATTTCAACCCCGCACCAGAAGCAGGAGACGAAGCAGTCTATCCCAAGGATACAACACCTCCCCGCTTCACAAAGAGCGGACTCCAGATACTCGGCCTCGTCACCGCGGTTCATGGCGCAGCGCTTCCTAAGGAGCCTGCCACAGTTCAACAGGCTCTGAGGGGGGAGCATAGGGAAAAATGGTGCGAAGCCAAGGACAAAGAGCTGAAAGCACTGGAGGAACGCAACACTTGGAAAGTTGTTCCCATCAGCGTGGCACAAAACAAGAGAATACTCACTGGGAAATGGGTCTTCCGTGTGAAGACAAAGGCAGACGGCATCATCGACAAGTTCAAGGCGCGCTGGGTCGTACGTGGCTTCGACCAAGAACACGGACGCGACTTCACTGAAACGTTCGCGCCGGTCAGCCGACACACTTCACTGCGAATCCTCCTCGCAATCGCCGCCATGAAGAAAAAGAAGCTACGGCAAATCAACGTCGCCAACGCCTTCCTTTACGCACCTGTCGACGCCGAAATCTTCGTCGAACTACCACACGGCTCCAACGGAGAGCCCAACCAAGTCTGTCAGCTGCTGAAGTCCCTGTACGGCATCAAACAAGCACCAAGACTGTGGCAGCAGTACCTGCACGCTAGACTTATTCGCATCGGATTCTGCCAGCTACCGCACGACCAGGGCATGTACCGACTCACAAAGGGCAACGACTACATTCTACTCATCGTCTACGTAGACGACCTGCTCTACATCGGCTCGACCGACGAAGTCACTACCTGGTTCGAAGGGGAGCTGCAGCAAGATCTCACGCTCACGGTCTCGTCCACCGTCACATAGTTTCTCGGTCTCAACATTCAAGAAGAAAAAGACGCGATCTACCTCAGCGCCGCGAAATATGCCGACACTATCGCCAAACGCTTCGAACTCACCCCGATCACCATCTCCACGCCATACCGCTACACCGCAAGAAATCACAAGGAAGGCTCCGCTCTACTCAAGCCCGCCGGCATACGCGACTACCAACGAAAGCTAGGATGTCTCCTCTTCGCGGTTGTCACCTGCCGTCCAGACTCATCTTACTCTGCGAGTCAACTCGCCACCTACCTCAAGAAGCCTGAAGCGGAACACATGGCGGAGCTCGACCGCGCTCTCCACTACCTCGTCAGCACCCCGACTGTCGGCCTAATCTACCACAAGAACGGAACTACAACACCTAAGCTAATCGGCTACGTCGACGCCGATCACGCCGGCGACTCCGACAACAGGCGCTCACGCACCGGCTACATTTATCGCTTCGAGCCTATCCGACCGATCTCCTGGCACTCGAGCAAGCAGGAGCTAATCGCCCTCTCCTCAGCTGAAGCAGAATATATCGCACTCTGCTCAGCCACCAAGGAAGGACTGTACCTTCGCGAACTCCTGGAAGAAGCGAAGCTGGCTCAGTTACCCAACTTTCTCCCTGTTCTGCGACAACCAGTCAGCAATTGCATAGCCAACAAGAATGGATTCGCGAACAGGACGAAGCACATCGCCCTGCGATATTTCTTCGTGAAGGACGAGATCGAGAAGGGGAGACTCAAACTGTCCTACTGCCCCACATCCGAGATGGCAGCTGACTACTTGACCAAGAAGCTCGGAAAGCAGAAGTTCGAGTACTGCATGCTGCTGACTGGACAGGGCCGCGTCACCAGCAGCGACACTCCAGAAGCGAAGGGGAGTGTTGGAAACAAGTGATTTAAGCGCATCTGTCGTGTCGAAACACTAAGTCATAAACGAAGCGAAACAGAGCGAAGCATTGGCGAGTCAACCCTTGGAGGTTAAACAACTGCTGGAGGTTACGCGAAGGTCAAAGGTCAGCGACCTTTGACCTGACAAGTACAGCACGACAGCAAGGACAAACAACTGACTCGTTACTGAGCAGTTGCCCGAGCCATCTCTGTATCGAACCGCAACAGCAACGGTAAAACAGTTATCAGTCGTATCTCCTCATATTCCTTTGTACTCTTATAAAAGACTTGTACCTCTTTGCTTTGATCAATCTATTTTGCCCTCACATACCACCGCAAGGTGGTTCAAGACTCATCATTATACGCTTCCCCATTTACAACAAGTCCTACCCAGAGTTTAGCCTTGCAAAGATCCTAAGGGCTTTTCTCAGCCCAGCACACATGACATGCCCTGATGGCGTGCCCACAGTGGACTCTTGAAGAGCCTCTAAAGTGGGCTGAATTTTGAGTCGACTCAAAAATACCGGGCAGCATATGACGTGCCCTTATGGCGTGCCCACAGTGGACTCTTGAAGCGCCTGAAAGTGGGCTGATTTTTTAGTCGAATCAAAAATACCAGTGCAGCATATGACGTGCCCTTATGGCGTGCCCACAGTGGACTCTTGCAGCGCCTCTAAAGTGATGCATGTTCTGCTCCTATCTTATGGCATGATAGTTGAGGAGGCGCCACTAACAGCCTCTCGCATCGCACGGGCCATCTCAGCACTGAAGTCAAAGGAGCCATCAGAGCCTCCAATTTCCGTGTCAATGCTGGAAACACCCGTGCTAACCTGCACCCCAAACATCTCCTGCTTCAGCTTCACCAGCTCAGCCAGCACTAGAAGCATGGAGGGACGGGAGGCCCCACACAGGTCAGTGCAGGAGAGGGCAAGGCGAGCCAAGCGCAGCACCAAATCATCCGGTGCTTCCAGGTGAGGGTCCTTGAATTCTGTCACTGCTCCTGAGTTCACCAGTGGGGTCACCTGCCAGGTTGAAAGGATATGGCATACGGCAGAGTTGTGAGTCGACTCAAAACAAGTGCAGCACCAAATAATCTGGTGATTCAAAATGAGAGGCCTTGAATGCTGCCAGTAGGGTCACCTGCCAGATCGAAAGGATATGCCATACGAGATATGCTACACGAAACATGCTCCTCCAAAAAGTTCAGAAGTGTTGCATGAAGAGAAAATATGTCAATAGAATAGAAGCATTGGAGTGCAGGTGATAACGCAGAATTGATCACATGATCAGGCCTTCATGTTTCTGGCCAGAATTGAAAGCTAGCAAACCTACTCAACGTGGAGTGCACTTGGACTTATGAACATGATGTTAGCCATTGTGCGCAGTGCCTCACCCATCGCTTGATGTTGACGTGGTCGCCCTCTATCACCAGCACAACCTTGCGCCCCGTGACAACCACCAGCATCACCATGCCAAAACTGCAAGCCAGGGAATCAGGAAGGAGATCATGTGTGACAGCTCCTGAAGTTGAATTGAAAATCATCTTAGAAAAAACAACCATCCTCACGGTTATGGTCCTCTTCACAACCACTTGCGTCCCAAGCCCCCCATCTTTACATGGCCGAGCATGTCAGGGCCTTTGAATGGTGAGGCATGGCAAGGCATGCCTGAAGTGGCAAGCCATGCCTGAAATGGCAAGGCATGCCTGAAATGGCAACCACGAACTGCTGCTACTATGTACGAGGCGAAAGGAAAGCAAAACTCATAGTGGAGAAGAAAACAGAGTTGTCACAAACATCAGATGGTTAATTCGTCCCAATCTTCTCACCTGCACCAATCATCTCACCTGCACCAATCTTCTCACCTGCACCAATCTTCTCACCTACACCAATCTTCTCACCTGCACCAATCCTCTCTCCTGCACCAATCTTCTCACCTGCACCAATCCACTGACCTGTGTTGTGCCAACCAGCTCTGTACACATCTGCGGCTAGAGAGAGCTTTTGAGAATCGTAGTATTCAGGGTCCATATAGCCCAATGTTCCCACCAGCCGAGTGGCAGCCTCCGATGTGGCCATAGATGTCCCTCCTAGCAGCTTCACGACCCCAAAGTCTGCAACCTTTGCCCGCCCATCATCAACCACAGCAGCATGATCGTCCAACATGAGATTAAGTGACATGACTCTATCTTCGACTGCTCAAAACATCTCATGATGGTTGAAAAGGATGAACAAAACGGATGAACAAAGCATCTTCTTCAACATGCAACCCAGCATTGATATTTTGAGCATGCCTGCAATTTTCTATCGAGCAGAATGTTGGCCGGCTTGATGTCGCGATGCACAATGTTGAAGTCGTGAAGATACTGCAACCCCTTGGCCACTCCAATCAGAACGTCCAGCCTTTGTTGTAGCGAGAGAGGGCTAGAGACACCGGGACCGATCCAACTATCAAGGTCGCCGTTGGGCATAAGCTCATAGACAAGAAGCTGCTCCATGGTTCGTGTGAACGGGTCAAAGTCGATGCAATAGCCCAACAGACGCACGAGATGTGGATGGTGCTTGCTTGCCATCCATTTTACCTGATGGGGGGAAATGACGGTGAACACATGAAAGCAGAAGAAACAAGCAAATGAACAATCAAGTGATGGGACTTGGCACAAGAATCCAGAAAGGGACGTGGCACCAACCAAACTCATAACATGATACCTCTTTTTTGAATTCGTTTGTGCGGATTCTCGAAGCCGACTTACCTCCCTATGGAAGTCGTTTGTGAGCACTCGAGCTTGCTTAACTGCCCAAGCTTGATTGCCATCGTGGGGAGAAACAGCCTTGTACACAGCCCCAAAGCCACCACTTCCTATCCTGTTCCCCTCAGCCCACTCTCCTGTGGCCTTGGTTAGTTCTGCCAGGGAGTATTCTCGACACACATATGGCTGTGCTACATCGATCTCCACCATGGGCGGCTTGCGTGCCGACCCAGACACAGGCTCCTTTGCCGGCGCACCCGCGGAGGGCGGCAGGGTCAGCTGCTCGGGCGGCGTGTCATCGGCAATGAGCAGATCGTCCAAGACAATGCCGCCCCGCAGCCCGCCGTACACAAAGATAATATTGCCGGCCGAGGCGGCGGCGTGGCGGCAGCGGCGGGTGAGCTCGGAGGACGCGTCGCCGCCCGGCACGTCGGCACTGTAGCGGCCGGTGCGGGCGGCTGATACTATGGCCTTGCGGTCACACCACTCGCCTGCCGCTGAGTCGAAAACTGTTCAAAGATAGAACGTGGGGTTTGGAGGAGTAGGGGAGGGGTGAGGGGGGAAGAAGTAAGAGCGTCAGCACTGTAGCAGCCGGTGCGGGCGACTAATACCACGGCCTCACGGTCACACCACACGCCTGCCGCCGTGTCCAAGACTGTGCGTGTGTGAATGAAGGAACAAGGGCGTGGGAGAGGGGTGAAAGGGAGAGGAGGAAGAAAGAGTGTCGTCATACCATGGCCTTGCGGTCGCACCACACGCCTGCTGCTGTGCCCAGAGCAGCGTGTGCAGAAGGCGATAGGAGTGAGGAAGGAGGGATAGTAGAGGGGAAACATTATTCTCATGCACCTTAAATACAACAATGACCATTTGGGCTCTCTATAGTCACATTCACTCACCGGCCACACTGGAAGCGTCTTCCACCATCCTCTCTTCCCCCAGCGTTCCTCCTGACACGTGCAGGCGCAGCCCCACAAACACCTGCGCGCAGGGCAGGGTTCAGAGCAAGGTTCAGAGAAAGGTTCAGAGCAGGATTTAGAGCAAGGTTCCGAGCAGAGATCGAGTTCTGGCCAGGGTTCGTGTTCAGGGCCAAGACGTTCAAACCCACACATACAGTCACAACCAGACTGACAGTCACACGTGCCTATGTGCAGGCATGCATGCACAGGCATACACGCAAGAAAGGACTCGCAGCAACATACTGATAGAAAGCTACTCACAACAGGAAGCTACTCACGGCAATGTGTTATGAAGGACTCGTAGCAACACGCTGTTGTTAGTTACATTACAGAGTAACTTAAACACGGCAAGAAGAAACTCACAGCAGCGTGTTGGTAGCGCGCCGAGGGGGACACGCCAGGCGCCACAGCCCACTCCCACCGGCCATCCCGATGCCGAGCCAAGCGAAACGCCCCGGGTAGAGGCTGATGTGGTGCGGAACGACCAGTGCAAAATGGAAGGGTGGGGTCGGGGGGAGAGGGGGTGAGGGGGAGAAAGTAGCAGGGTCAGTGCGCGGGGGAGAGGCATTGTGAGGGAAAAGAGCAAGTACATAAGGGTGTGGAGTGAGTCCACTCAAGAGCTCACCACCACTCTAATGCCACGCGCTACTCACCACGCTGTTGCCGTCTCTGCCGCTGCAGAGCAGCAGCAGCACCACACTCCTGTGCCTTGTGAATCGACTCAAAAGCTTATCACCACTCTCATGCCACCCGCAACGCAACACAGCTCACCACGCCGCTGCCGTCTCTGCCGCCGCACAGCACCAGCAGCCCGTCGTGCCTGGCGCTAGCGGTGGCATACATGCAAGGCGGCGGCCCCTTGCCCTTGGGGTCCAGCTTCTTCCACTCGTACGGCTTCACTGTCGTGTCCAGTGACCACTCGTCCGACAGCGGCCCCTTGCCTGCCCGGCTGGGGGGGGAGGAAGCAGTGGGGGGAGAGGGTGCTGGGTCGACTCAAAGATACATGCGAGTCGGGCCCTCGCCCTTGAGGTCCAGCTTCCTCCACTTGTACGGCTTCATTGTCGCATCCAGCAAGCAACCACAAGTCCGACAGCGACCTCTTGACTGCAGGAGAGGAAGCGGTGGGGAGGGGGTGGTGGGGAGTGGGGAGGGGGGAATGGGGAGGGGGGAGCGTGTCAGAGGTCCACTGGTGATCCCCGATTGATCCTAGGGAAGGGTTACAGGCATGTTGGCCTGGGGGGTTATGGGCGCACTGACCCGCTACTTAACAAGCCCTTTTATCCCAATGGTCTATTGGTTGGGATTCTGACATGGTATCAGAGCGAAGGTCTCGGGTTCGAATCCTAGTGTGTGCACTTCGGGCATCCCAGTGCGGGGGGGTGTCAGAGGTCCACTGGTGATCCCCGATTGATCCTAGGGAAGGGTTACAGGCATGTTGGCCTGGGGGGTTATGGGCGCACTGATCCGCTACTTAACAAGCCCTTTTATCCCAATGGTCTAGTGGTTGGGATTCTGACAGAGCGGGGAGGGGGGAACGAGGGAACGGGGAGGTAGAAGACAAAAGATGGATGCTATGCGATGGGTAGCAGTTGTGTTCTTAGCGTAATAGGGCAAACAAATGAGGTTGTGTCCAACGATCACATGTCTGACAGCGGCCGCTTGCCTGCCGGGCAAAGGAAACAAAAAAGGGCAAACAAATCAGGGCAAGAGAGGGTCAACGCCAGCATTCTCCATCCCATACCCCACAATCACTCCATCACTGACGTCAGCCATGAGTGCTCCACGGTCCATCAAAGCACAAACCACTCGACGAAACTGATCTGGCTAAAGAAACACATCAAGTCGCATCCTTCTGCATCACTAACAGATGCACGGATGGACCACGAGCGTCAATCAATCTACAGCTCGGTTCCAACAGAGAGAGCAAGGAAAAACCCTGCGCAATCCTCTCACCGTCGTTTCCGCTGATGCACAAAAGGTAGCGCTGCCCCACAAGGGCCATGACGTGACCATATCGAGGCCCAGGGCCAGCTCCTTGCACCACCACTCTGCTCGTTACAAGCACACGCCACACCACCCACAGCAACACCTTTAAAACACCTCGTTACAAGCACAAGCCGAACAACGGCAACAACATTGCAACAGTCAACAGCAAAACAGTCAAAAAGGACAACAGCATAACAGTCACAACAGTGCAACCGCACTTGTGCCAATTGGGTTGAGCCTGAGTCAGGTCCAGCACATGCAGATCGCCAGTGGCGAGCCCTGTCGGCCCTATCCCGCCCTGAATCACCACCATCGTGCCCATCGCCGCAGCCGCATGCGCTGCTCGCGGGGAGGGAGGCTCGCCAACAGGGGACAGCCTGGGAAAGAAACGGGAAAGAAAGAAAAGAAAGAAAGAAAGAAAGAAAGAAAGAAAGAAAGAAAGAAAGAAAGAAAGAAAGAAAGAAGGAAAGAAAGAAAAAAGAAAGAGAGAAAAAAAAAAAAGTGAGGCCCTTAAAAAGTCCATGCTCGCCCACACACAGGGGACAGCCTGGGAGGAGAGGCAAGATATTTTAGGGGGCCCAAAGGTGCAATGTGCTGCTCGCGGGGAAGGAGGCTCGCCTACTGTTATTAGCTTGGGAGAGAGGAGAAGGGAAACGCAGAATTGATGCCAGGTAGGTAGTAAGTACCACGAAATGCAGTTGGTAACAGGGTTACAGTGATACACCGATATCTTTTAAATTCCTCCAATATTTTCCCGATACACACGAAGCGCAATCAGTCACTGGAAACTCCCAAACAAACCGCGCCAAACCGAGCGAATGAGCTCACTCACTTGCTCCATGTCCGCGAGTTGACGTCGAAGCAATGCACGTCTGCCGTGGCTCCAGCCACTGAAAGACCAACAGAAGTAAGCAGCAAAAGAGCGTGAAAACTCGTAAGGCGAATCGTTACAGACAATGAGTGCTCTTGAGTCAAGCTGCTTCCCAAACCCTTCGGTGGCAGCGCCTAAACAGCACATGTAGCAGAAGCTTCTGAAGATAATTACGCGACCAAAAAAAAACAAAAAACAAAACAAAACAAAACAAAACGGAAGAGTCTGGGAAACTGGGACACAGCGGCAAGAATAGAGCTTGGCCGGCAGTTGGTATGAGAGTTGATGACTAAGAAGGATGATAAAGAAAGAGAGAAGAAGTGCTCGTCATAAGCGAGCGTACGCACGGTTTAAATCGCGATCGTTAACCAGCATTTCTATGCTAGTAAGTGTTAACCTTAATTAGAAAGGAGACCGCCGCGGAAGCGCTTAACACTATTTTGGTCCTTGATCAGGTGTCAATATAAAACCGATCCAGCAGCCGCTTAGCGAGGGATCTTCCCACGCTTCCTGACTTACGTTTTAAGGCTGCTGCTCCTGCCGCGGGATCTTCGCCTCGCTCCATCGCCGCCGCTCCGCCAAAGAGGATAAGTCGCGGACCAATGTAGTTCGTGCTGCCAGGCTCTCCGATAGGCGTGACGGTGGTAAGCGTGTGACCGCACCGGGGCCCAGGCGACTCCCCTTCGAAAGCGCACAGCGTGTACGCAGGTGCGATACGCGGCGGTTCCTCGTCCTCCATTCCCAACTTGGCTGTTAATATGGTTTTGTTTAATGCAGGGAATCAATGTGAATTTTGAAGTAGTGTGATCTGATATAGATCACCTCGCTTCATGCACTTGCCTACTGACATTGCAACCAGTTTCACATGTTTTCAAACGTCCATTCCGTCCCCCTCAGCCCGTGCACGTCAAGGGCTTTTCTCGCCGCGCGCGTGGGGAGGAAGGCACAACGTCACGCCAAAATCCATTCCTGAAATGCTGTCACAATCTCACTGGACGGCGGATGCCAACCTTTGAAGCCTAAATCGACGGCTACGAGCTGCAAATGCAAACTGCTTCACACCAGCCCAAGACCACATCGCGCACAAGCCAACCCAAACCAGCCAAGTGACCTTCCCTTCCACCTTAATCTCCGCTGTTCCACCTCACCTAACCCATGTATCCACTTCTCACAACTGCTCGCACCCACCCGCATCCTTCTGCACCTGCATCCACGCTTCGACTGAAGTTGGCTGATTTCCCCCCCGAGGCTGAATTTTTGTCAACCATCACACACAGCACATCTCACATCTCCAGATTTTCTCGCACTTCTTGCAACAAACTGAAAATGTGTGTATAGTAAAAAGTGCCTGGCAACTCCTCACTGCACCTTTTCAAATCTTATCGTGACTCAAAAATTAACCTCAGTGTTTGGTAGTAGCGCATTAATTGCCTGCCGTCCTTATTCTGCGGCCAGCGCCTGGCAACTTCTCGCTGCCTCAGACAGACACAGTCTTCGCGACAGCCACATGTTTTCTTTCACTGTCGCCTTGATCGTTTGCTGCCCTATTTCTCGAAACCAGCTTTGAGGAGGACGGGGTGATATGTGGGGGGTTTGTTTGATATGTGTATTTAAGCCTGTAAAAGAATATTCAGTACTCGAGAACTATTCGATATTCGTTCGGATACCTGAATTCGAGAGAATAAGAAACGAGTGTGTATTCGAAAATATTCGCATCACGAGTATTCGTGAATGTAGAATATTCGGATAACGAATATTCGGGGTATTCGTTACTATTCGGTATTCTACCACTAACCCCCCCTACATTCAGCTACCATCTTTGCAGTTTGTGTACAAGAGGCCTCGTGAGAGCCGTGCCCAAAAGTCGAGCAAGATAGTTGCTGGAGAGTGTTTAGGGAAAGCGAGTGTGCGGGATTGAGTTGTGGTGTTGGTAGTATAAAGTGCATTGTGTCACCCTGTGTCAAACAGGCATTAGCCAATCGACACTGGCTATACAAGATATATTATTCGACACTTATTCGTATTCGATTCGGATTCGGCAGTATTCGAATCGTATTCGTATTCGGTTCTGGGTGAGTCAGTATTCGGTCAAATAAGAAACGGCACAGTATTCGGAGAATATTCAGGAAATATATTCGTATTCGTATTCGTTTTTACAGGCTTATGTGTATTATGTTGCCCTAAAAGCCCCTGCTTTAAAACACGTCCAAACCTCAGATTGACCTCGACCCAACTTTTTATGTCAGGACGGGTCAAGAAAACAAGGAGCCTAACCCCCGAAGGTGAACCATCCCGACCCGACCCAACCCATACAGCGAGCCTTGCTTTGATAGATTCAGGTTGGGTCAGGACACGCCGACCCAAAGTCAAATTTACCTCAAGAACAACCCTCCTTCGTCGCCTTCCAACAGGCCAACGGCAAAAGTGGCTTTCCCTGGCAAGGCCCAACTCCTTCTGCTCAAGGGCCAACACTCTATAACTCAACCTCAACACCCAGACGTACCTAGGCTCTGGTGAGTAATGGCTGTGGCGGTCCGGTCGACCGAATTGGAAGAACTGGGCTGAGAGCGGAACCACGACCCCAAATTCTCTTTCAGGGAAAATCGACGCCCCTTCTCCCCGCTTCGCCCCGCTGCTGCTGGTGACTGGCTCCCCGCGCTCTTTTTGGCCACTACCACGTCCTTTCGGCCACTGCTCCTCGACACCAGATTCTCGGCACCAGGAAGGTTCATGCGGCGAGCAAGGCTGATTGCGAGCTCCGGGCTGTTGAGCTGGCCGCTGACAAACGGGACGATGGCCTGCTCGTTCACCGTGGCTAGTAGCACCTTGCCGCGGAGATTCACGGCATAGACACCGCCCACGCTGGGAGCGTCAGCTGCCAGGAAGATGGGGTCGGGGCTGATGCGATTGCGGTAGATGGCTGTAGCGGACTCAAGGTCGTACACAAAGAGCAGGCCTAGCTTGGTGACGACATATACCAGACCGAACTTTGCTGACACCTGAATGAGGGGGAAAAGGGGTAAAGGGCGGTGGGCGAACACGGGAGGGGAACAAGGGGGTTCAGCGGCAGAAGCGGGGAGAGTCGGAATCGGCGAAGCATTGAACGCATTGAACGCAAGCTTCCTCACCTGCATGGCGATTGGAAAGTCATCAGCGAAAGCTGCCGGGAAAAACAGGTCGGCCTGCTTCTTTGTGAAAGGAACACGACCTGCAACAGAACAACCAGGCTTACCCTTGTCAGCTAAACTGATATATTCTGAGACATCCAAATTTCGTACGAAATTCGCTGACCTGGTTGATCACCAAGCTCCGTTATATGCAACCTTGATATACGCTGTCCGCCAGCGATAGTCTTGGTGGCAAACGCAATGACAAGGGAAGGAGTGTCGTTTCCTGGCATCTGCACAATCACACAGCCAGTCCTCGAGTACTTGCTTAGCAATCCAAACGCTTGGCATGCGCTCAATGTACAATATCTTGTGAAAGGGTTACGGAATCAACAGACCTTCACAGAGGCAAACGCAGCTGCGTGCGCTTCCAATGCCTGACTCTTTTGCTCATCCACGGAAAAGAGCTGCAAATTTCCCTTGACGAGTTGTGGACGCTGCAAGCAACCACCAAGGCAAACATCATCAATAACCATTCTCGCAACTTCTGGTTACTTTAAAGGGCAAGACTTTCTGCATACCTCAGGAGCACCAGGGGCGATGCCGATCAAAGCGAGCCATTTGCCGGAGGGATCACTCTGGTAGTTGATTATCTGACTGCCGTTCAAGTTTGCTGTCCGCTCAAACATCTTAACGGGTCTTACCTCGCCTGGTCGAGACACAAAGAAAAGGGAATAAAAAGTCTCAGCACAGTACTGCATCTTCGCTGCAAAAGCTTGCCTATGATGATTCAAGAGAATTTTGAATGTGAAAGGGTTGGCAGATGATGCAGTCAAAAACTCCAACCTTCGATCGACCAGTGGTAAAGAGATGTCAGAGTCACGAGGCCGAGGACTTTGTTGGAGATCCACTTCCAGTACACAATCTGCAAAGAGCAAGAGAGCAATCTGTAAGTAAAGCTTTTCAAACTGATGGCAGATGCAACTGTAATCTGGTGCTGACCTCCTCTGGCATCCGGTACGACTTGAATTTAGCCCTAGCCTCGATGTCGAGAATCCGCAAGTGATTCGTCCCTTTAATCAAAGCGGCTGCACGTTCAAACCGAAAAGTCTAAGTGATCCGAACGCCAAGAGCTGACTCTTGAGCTGACCCAAGAACATCCTCAAACGTAAGGACGAACAAGCAGCGAACTGACCCTTGAGCGCCAAGATTTTGCTGTCAGGATTTATCAATGCTGAGTCAGCAGGGAAAGTCCTCCTCAAAGGCTGCATTGGCGTCGCCATGTCAATAATGACAACGCTGTTCGACGGAGCCGTTTCCCTGACACAGATATAATTTTCGGACTCCATCGTGACATGAGTGAAGTTAATGAACCGTTGATTGACCCCCAGATCTGTCAACTGCACAAGGAGATACGGTGGGAAAAATGGTCCATGTCGTAAAAATCAAAAGTCGTTCAGTAACAGTCCACCTTAAGAACCTAATTTTACCAGCAAAGCGCCACCGTGACGCAGTTAAAACACATGAAACGGATCAGTCTCTCCTGGTCGATCTACACAAAAACTACCTTTCAATCTTTCCTACTCACGCTGAGGGCCTCCTTCCAAACGATAGGAGCGCTTGCTGTAGCCATCTTGCCACCGCAGGAAACGCTAACCGATCAAGATAAGACGCGAGACCCAAATTGAGTGGCCTGATCGCAAGTAACTCCTACTGCTATGGAGCCTACAGGGAGGATGCCTTTTGTTAGGTAACCGATCTAAATAGCTGATCTTATCCAACTCAATTGAAAAGGTTCATTCGACTGCCGGCGCAGACGGCAGTCGAACCGCGCAAGCAAATAGCAGCCGTATGAACCTTTCATTTCGCCTCGCCACATCCTTCCTTTGCCAATTCGCGCAGGCACAAGCTTCCCATCTTGGGCGGCTCGAATCACTGTTTGTGACCCAACGGTCACCGCCGATTCCATCTTGGCTCCTTTTTTGGGTTGCGTAGCAACCTTATACATTTGTTTTCACTTTTCGGTTGGCTGATGTGAACAGTGAATTTCTTTTATAAATTTTGAAAGAAATCACTGTTCACATAGCTTCCCCAAAAAAATGAAAACAAATGTTTCCAATCATTCCATAATCGTCGATAAGTACGGCGAATGGAACAATTGGAGAATCGTTTTAGCACTAAAGATGATACGGTACCCAATGACACACGAACACAAAGGACAACACAAAAAATACAACAGTACCACCGAGAGACAGACATACACAAATGACCACAAAAACGATGGTGTACAAGAACCGTCTTACATGTTTTGAAGGGAATACTAAATGCATCTATGCAACAACTGAGACTGATATGGTACGGAAGAGGCGAGCAAAGCTGCCCCACCGACGATCACAATCCCAGTTGCATACACGAGACACTTAGCACCACACCCCCAAAACAAGCACAGACGATAACACATAAATGATTACAAAAACACAAGACAACGTTTAAGAAAGTTTCAAAGCGAATGCTAAATGCATCACTGCTGCAACTGAGATTGATATGGTACGGAAGAAGCTAGCAAAGCTGCCCCACCGACGATCACAATCCGAGTTGCATTCAGGAGGCACTTAGCACCACACCCTGAAGCACGCACAACACACATATGCACATGTACGCACTCACACACATACAGGCTCACACATATACAGAGACACATAACGCAAAAACATACAGCTACTGTAATAAGCATGCAAGCATAATGAATGAATTTCAGCCTTGTATAAATTATCACTATCCTGTCCCCCGTTCCCCTCCCTCCCTCCCTCATTTCCCTCATCTCCCTTCTCCCCATCCCTTTTCTCCGCAAGAAACAAAGGCTGCAGCTTGAACTCTCTGCACAGGAAAGAAAAATCAGGGAATGCAACTCACTCCCTGCACAAACAAGAACAAAATCAGAGAATACAACTTGAATTAATAGCACAGGAAAACAAAATCAGAGAATTCAGCTTCCTTGATGCACTAAAAAACAAAGTAAGCGCAACAGAAATTCACGCGCAAACTCCCACGTTCTCTCACGCGCTCCCTCATGCGCAAACTCGCGCGCTCTATCGCGCGCACTCTCCCACGCGCTCTTTTGCACACACTCTTGCGCGCTCTCTCTTGCGCACTCTCACGCGCTCTCTCGTGCACTCTCTCGCACACTCTCTCGCGCACTCTCTCACACACTCTCACGCGCTCCCTCACGCGCTCTCTCACGCGCTCCCTCACGCGCTCTCTTGTGAAACTTATATATACTATAGTCTGTTTAGGCTGTAGTGGGGTAGTCCTTAGAGGGTACAACACTTTTGTGTTTGCTACTTGTACCCCACCTGTTTCCTAGTTTACTCATTCCTCTCGTTATTCTCACATGGTATCAGAGCGGGTTCCCTAGTGGGACCGTTTCTTCCTAAGGGCCCACCACGTTAATTTTTTTTTTCTCCTAACCTGCCCGAAGCGCGCTTCGCACTCTGCCCTGCCCTAAGCGCGCGCCTGCTGAGCGCGCGCATTTTGGCCAGTACAAGACTGCTCAGTCTTTGTACGACGCTGTAGTTGCACGCTACTCCTCCCCTGCCACTGCTGCCCTCTGCCGCCTTTGCCACAGTTACTGACCTAGTTGCTCACCTTCGCACTAGTGACGCCCGCTACCGCGCTGCCCTTCCCACTGAGTTCTGTGCCAAGAACCCCCCCCCATGTACATCACCCTTTACTACCTAGTCACCCGCCTCCCTGACTCCCTCTCTTCAGTCAGGGATCACTTTCTCTCCCTTTGCCCCACCGAGCTGACTGTCGACCTGCTAGAGGAGCGCCTTGCTGCGGCTGAGAAGAGTATCTTAGCTGTAGGTGCTTCTCGCGGCGACCGTCGCACCCCCTTCTTTGACGGGTGTTCCCCTGTCCCCCTTCTCCCCTCTGTTGCTTCTGCTGCTGCTGTCGACCTCGTTGGCACTGAGGAGGTCGGAGCTGCGTCTGCCCCTAGTGGGAGACGCCGCAACAGCAGGGGCAAGGGGAGCAAGGGTGGTGGAGGGGGCGGCGGGGGCAGCAGTGGCGGAGGTGGAGGAGGCGGGGGAGGTGGCGGTGGAGGTGGTCCTGGGAGTGGGGGTGTCAGTGGCGGCGGTGGAGGTAGTGGCGGCGGTGGAGGTAGTGGCGGCGGTGGCGGAGGTGGTGGAGGCAGCGGCAGCGGTGGTGGCGGTGGCGGTGGCGGTGGCGGTGGTACTGGTCGAGGTGCATCCGCGCAGCGTGGAGGCGTTGGTGGCAGCCAGCGCCAGCAGCAGCTGCGCTCCCGTGAGACCCCGTCGGTCCAGCAGCTTCGTGAGTGGTACGCTGGGCGTGGGAGGTCTGGGGGTGCAGGTCCCTGCACTTACGTTCTTCGCACCGGCACTCGTAGTGGGGAGGTGTGTGGGCTTCCACACACTACTCAGCGCTGCTTCGGTCGCCTGACTGACGCTTGGCGTGCCCAGTTTCCTGACGTCGTTGAGCTCCCTCGCTGGCATGTTCTGCTTCTGCAGAATGTGCCTATCTTTGATCTAGATTTTGATGCTATCCTTACTGCCATGTATGTTATTGCTGATAGTGCTGAGGGTGACTGTTACCTGAGTGTCCCGCCCGACCCGAGCATTGCGGCTGCTGCTCTAGGTGCTAGTGCGTCTGCTGCTCCAGGTACTGGTGCGTCTGCTGCTCCAGGTGCTGGTGCGTCTGCTCTCTCTGGTACTGCACCTACTGAGTCCTTGCACACTTTCACACTTGACTCTGGTGCTTCGCGCTCTTTATTTAGAGATAGCACCACGCTCACGCCGCTCAGTCGGCCTGTAGCGGTCTCCCTTGCTGACCCCTCAGGGGGCCCAGTCCTTGCACACTCCTCCACGGTTCTACCGTGTCCTGCGGCCCCATCGGGCTTGCTGTCGGGACTCCACCTCCCCTCGTTCTCTACGAACTTGGTGAGTGGAGCTAACCTCCATGACGCGTGGGTTGACCAGTTCACCCCTGGAGGTCAGCGTATGACCCACTCCACTTGCTCTCGGACGGGCCGCCACCTGGCCACGTTCACCCGTCGGCCAGGGTCGAGTCTGTACACACTGACTACTGCGCCTCCTCCGGTCCCTGCGTCTGGTCAGGTAGCTGCGTCTAGTCAGGTATTTGCTGCCGCGTCCAGGTCTAGTCCTGCGTCTGCCCCCTGCTCGTGTCGTCCTTTGGCGCATGAGACTCTCCTTTGGCACCACCGCCTTGGTCACCCCTCCCTGCCTCGTCTTCGAGGTATGGCCTCCCGTGCTCTTGTCTCTGGACTCCCCAGGTCCCTCCCTCCCCTTCCTCCGGGGCCTGCCCCCACCTGTGTTCCTTGTGTCGAGGGCCGGCAGCGCGCCGCTCCTCACTCCTCCTCGTTCCCTCCGACTGAGGCCCCTCTGCAGACTCTTCACATGGACGTGTGGGGCCCAGCCCGCGTCCGTGGACAGGGTCACGAGCGCTACTTCCTGCTGGTCGTTGACGACTACTCGCGTTACACCACAGTCTTCCCCTTGCGCAGCAAGGGTGAGGTCCCTGAGGTGTTGATCGACTGGATCCGCGGTGCTCGTCGCCAGCTAAGTGAGAGTTTCGGCTCGAACCTTCCTGTTCTGCGTCTGCACTCAGACAGAGGCGAGGAGTTTTCCTCCGACCTCCTGAGAGCCTTCTGTCGTTCTGAGGGCATCCGCCAGATGTTCACGCTTCCGGCCTCCCCGCAGCAAAATGGGATTGCTGAGCGCCGCATTGGCATGGTCATGGACGTCGCTCGTACGTCCATGATCCATGCAGCTGCTCCCCATTTTCTGTGGCCGTTCGCGGTTCAGTACGCTGCGCATCAGATCAACCTTCAGCCTCGTGTCTCCTTGCCGGAGACCACACCTACTCTGCGGTGGACAGGGAAGGTTGGCGATGCGTCCGCGTTCCGTTTCCGGGGATCTCGAGCTTTTGTCCGCGATACTACAGCGGACAAGCTGTCCTCCCGTGCCGTTCCCTGTGTCTTCCTTGGCTTCCCTCCTGACGCACCCGGGTGGCAGCTCTACCACCCCACCTCGTGTCGTGTTCTGTCCTCTCAAGACGTCACGTTTGACGAGTCGTTGTCGTACTACCGTCTCTTTCCCTACCGCACTGCCTCTCCTCCCCCCCCCCCGCCGCTCTTCCTGGCACCAGGTACTCCCCCGGTAGACCCCCTCCCCCCCCAGGGTCCTGCCCCCCCAGATTTGTCCCAGGTAGACCCTGCCGAGCCAGTCGAGGTAGCTGTCGACTCAGGTGCTGAGTCTGGGGGTGCTGAGCCTGCGGGTGAGGGGACTGGAGGTGCTGAGTCTGGGGGTGCTGAGTCTGGGCGTGCTGAGCCTGGGGGTGCTGAGCCTGGGCGTGTGGAGCCTGAGGGTACTGTGTCTGGAGGTGCTGAGCCTGCGCGTGCTGCGTCTGGAGGTGCTCTAGGTGTCCCGCCGCGGTGGGAGCCTCTCTCTCCACAGCAGCTTCGTGAGTGGTACTCTCGGCGCTGTCGGGGTGCTGCTGGAGCTACTGGAGGTGCTGCTGGTGCTGGAGGTGCTGTTGATGCTGGAGGTGCTGCTGGAGCTTCTGGAGGTACTGCTGGTGCTGGTTCTGCTGGAGGTGCTGCTGGTACTGGAGGTGCTGCTGGAGCTTCTGGAGGTGCTGCTGGTGCTGGAGCTTCTGGAGGAGCTGCTGGTGCTGGAGCTGCTGGAGGTAGTGTTGGTGCTGGAGCTGCTGGAGGTGCTGCTGGTGCTGGAGCTGCTGGAGGTGCTGCTGGGACTGGAGACCCTGGGGCTGAGGGTACCGGTTCTGTCTCTGCTGTTTCTGGAGGCGCTGTGCGGCCGCGGCCGTACTACGTTCCGCTTCTTCAGCAGGTTCTTGGCTCCCCGCCTTCTCCTGGTCCTCCTCCTCCTTTACTGAGTCCACCGCCTGTCCAGTCCCAGTCGAGGTTCTAGCCAGCCTCTCCACTGCCTGGTCCTTCTCCTTACTCTGGACAGACTAGAGGTCTTACGGAGCGTCGTGAGCCTGAGTCTCGTCCTGTGTCGCCTGAGTCTCGTTCTGCGTCGCCTGTCCATCCTGTTCGCGCTGGTCGTGTTTCGCGTCCGCGTCCTCCTCCTGTCCCTGGCACTCACTCTATGACTCTGCGTCCTTCCACTGCTCCACAGCGTGTCCCTCTGCCGTCTCCTCCTGCGTCCTCTCTTCCTGCTGGTCCGGACCCTGCGTCTGACTCCCTCCGTGCTGCTAGTCCGGCTATCACGCGCTTTCTGGCCACTGCTGTCACTGACCCTTTGGTTGAGTCCACTGCTGCGTCTGCTCTTGTTACTGAGCTTGTTGACTTTGCTGCAGCCTGTCGCCTAGACTACGCCGCTAGTCTTGTTACTGAGTCTGCGTCTGTGTCTGTCTGTCCTCCGTCCGTCGCGGGTGAGTGTGCTCTTGGCACGGACGTACTTGAGGACAGACAGGAGGAGTTTGAGTGCTTTGCTGCTTCTGTACCTCATCTCGTGTCCATGCTGCTTGCCCCTGAGGGAGACCCGGATCCACCGGACATCCCGACCCCGCGCTCTTACGCAGAGGCGATAGAGGGTCCCTACTCCTCCCAGTGGCAGGCAGCCATGGACGCCGAGATGGCTTCCTGGAAGTCCACAGGCACCTACGTCGACGAGGTTCCCCCACCTGGGGCGAACATCGTCAGTGGCATGTGGATCTTCAGGGTGAAGCGGCCGCCGGGTTCTCCGCCTGTCTTCAAGGCGCGTTACGTTGCACGTGCCTTCAATCAGCGACAGGGAGCTGACTTCTTTCAGACCTTCTCCCCTACCCCAAAGATGACCACTCTTCGGGTACTGCTGCACGTAGCTGCTCAGCGTGACTACGAGCTCCACTCGCTTGACTTCAGCACAGCCTTCCTACAGGGCAGCCTGCATGAGGAGATCTGGCTGCGCCGCCCACCTGGCTTCACTGGGTCGTTTCCAGCTGGTACCCAGTGGAGCCTCCGACGGCCAGTCTACGGTCTCCGCCAGGCACCTCGTGAGTGGCACGACACACTCAGGACGACTCTTGCTGCTCTTGGTTTTGCTCCTTCCACTTCTGACCCTTCTCTGTTCTTACGCACTGACACTACTCTGCCACCGTTCTACGTTCTCGTGTATGTAGACGACCTCGTCTTTGCTACTGCTGACACTGAGGCGCTCGCTCACGTAAAGTCCGAGCTGCAGAAGAGACACACGTGCACAGACCTGGGTGAGCTGACAAGCTATCTTGGCTTGCGGATCACCGGGGACAGAGCACAGCGCACCATTACCTTGACTCAGTCACACATGGTGCAGCAGGTCCTTCAGCGCTTCAGCTTCATGTACTCCTTGCCACAGTCCACTCCTCAGCCTACCGGTCACTCGCTCTCAGCTCCACATTCGGCCGAGTCCGTAGAGCCGAGTGGCCCGTATCCAGAGCTTGTGGGCTGCCTCATGTACCTGATGACTTGCACACGACCTGACCTCGCATACCCTCTCAGCCTTCTGGCTCGTTACGTGGCTCCCGGCAGGCACCGAACGGTGCACTGGGATGCTGCGAAGAGGGTGTTGCGATACTTGTGCAGTACATCGGGCATGGGGCTCGTGCTTGGAGGACGGGCTTGAGTTGTCCTCACTGGTCACGCTGACGCCTCCTGGGTTGACGACTTGGCTACGCAGCGGTCGTCACAGGGTTACACCTTCAGTCTTGGCTCCGGTTCTGTCTCTTGGCGGTCTCCGGCGCTTTTACCTGGGGAGAGGCTGGGGCAGGCGCGTCAGGGACAAAGCCAAGGAAAACACAGGGAACAGTGCGGGCGGAGAGCTTGTCCGCGGTGGTATCGCGGACAAAGGCACGAGCACCCCAGACCCGAAAACGTGACGCATCGCCAACCTTCCCCGTCCACAGCAGTGTGGGTGAGGTCTCCGGCAAGGAGACACGGGGCCAGAGGTTGAGCTGATGCGCGGCGTACCGGACCGCAAACGGCCACAGAAAATGGGGGGCAGCCGCATGGATCATGGAGGTACGAGCGACCTCCATGACTAAGCCAATGCGACGCTCAGCAACCCCATTCTGTTGCGGAGAGGCCGGAAGCGTGAATGTCTGGCGGATGCCGTGCTCCGCACAGAAGGCTGCCAAGAGGTTGGAGGAAAACTCCCCACCTCTGTCAGAGTGCAGACGCAGGACGGGAAACTCCGTCCCGAACCGCTCGCGGAGCTGGAGATGAGCAGCGCGGATCCAAGGGATCAAAACATCAGGGACCTCACCCTTGGTGCGCAAGGGGAAGACCGTGGTGTAACGCGTGTAGTCGACGACGACCAGCAGGAAGTACCGCTCGTGGCTCTGTCCACGGACGCGGGCTGGGCCCCACACGTCCAGGTGGAGAGTCTGCAGGGGAGCCTCTGTGGGAGGGAACGAGGAGGAGTGAGGAGCGGCGCGCTGACGCCCCTCGACACAGGGAAGACAGGGAGGAGCAGGCGAGGGTGGGAGGGGAGGGAGAACCCTGGGAAGACCAGAGACAAGGACACGGCGGTGCATGCTACGAAGGCGCTGCATCGAGGGGTGACCAAGGCGGTGGTGCCAAAGGAGGGTCTGGTGCGACAAAGCGCGACACAAGCAGGGGGGCGCTAGCTGACCTGACGCAGACGCAGACGCAGCGACCTGAGGGGACACAGTAGTCAGTGTGTACAAACTCGAGCCAGGCGCACGGGTAAACGTGGCCAGGTGCCGGCCCGTCCGGAAGCACGTACAGTGGGTCATGCGCTGACCTCCAGGAGTGAACTGGTCAACCCCACTGGTCCTGGAGGTCAGCACCACTCACCAAGTTCGTAGAGAACGAGGGGAGGTGAAGACCTGACAGGGAGCCAGACGGGACCGCCGGACACGGCAGGACCGTGGAGGAGTGCGCAAGGACTGGACCCCCAGAGGGGTCTACCAGGGAGACTGGAACCGGCCGGCTGAGCGGCGTGAGGGTGGTGCTGTCGCGAAAGAAGGAGCGAGAAGCACCTGAGTCAAGTGTGAAGGTGTACAAGGCCTCAGCAGGCGCAGTACCAAAGAGAGCAGACTCACCAGCACCTGGAGCAGCAGCCTCACTAGCACCCAGAGCAGGAGACGCACTAGCACCTAGAGCAGTAGCCTCACCAGCACCGAGAGCAGCAGGCTCTATACCTGGGTCAGGCGGTACGCACAGGTAACAGGTACGGTCAGCACTAGTAGGCAATGCATACATGGCAGTGAGAATAGCATCATAGTCAAGAGCAAATATATCTACCCTCTGCCCAAGCAGCTCCACCCAGTCGGGGAGCTCAGCCTCGTCGCCAAACTCGGTACGCCAGGCGTCACTCAGACGGGCGAAGCAGCGGGACTGGGTGTGACTAAGCGTCCCGCAAGTCTGACCCGTCCGATCACCTGTGCGAATGACGTACGGGCAGCGAACGGTACTCAAAGACCCTCTACTCTGAGCGTACCACTCGTGAAGCTGCTGGGACGTAAGTGTCTCGCGTGGACGCTGCTGCAGCTGCAGCTGGCCACTGCCTGACGCTCCCAACTGACCAGCTCCAGGGCGACAGCTACGACGACTACCGCCACAACCCCAACTAGCGTACCACTCACGAAGCTGCTGGGGCGTGAGAGACTCGCGCGGACGTCGCTGGAGCTGCATCTGGCCACCGCCAGTACCAGTAGCAGTAGCCTAGCAGAGCAGGCGTGGCAGGCAGGCAGACAGGCAGGTAGGCAGGCAGGCTGGCAGGCAGGCAGGCAGGCAGATGGCGCGGCAGCGCGCTAACAAGGCAGGTGCTCACCAGTGGCGGGAAGAGCAGGCGCTCGCCGGGCAAGCAGGGCCGGCGCTTGGCGGGCGGCTGCACGGGGTCCAGGGGCGGCGTCGCGGGTCCAGGGGCGGCGTCGCGGGATCCAGGGGTGGCTGCACGGAGTCCAGGGGCGGCTGCACCAGGGGCGGCTGCTTCAGGGGCCAGGGGCGGCTGCTCTGGGTCCAGGGGCGGCTGCTCGAGGGTCTAGGGGTGGCTGCACCAGGGGCGGCTGCTTCAGGGGCCAGGGGCGGCTGCTCTGGGTCCAGGGGCGGCTGGACCAGGGGCGGCTGCTTCAGGGGCCAGGGGCGGCTGCTCCAGGGGCGGCTGCTGCAGGGGCCAGGGGCGGCTGCTCTGGGTCCAGGGGCGGCTGGACCAGGGGCTAGGGGCGGCTGCTCGGGGTCCAGGGGCGGCTGCTCCAGGGGCGGCTGCTGCAGGGGCCAGGGGCGGCTGCTCTGGGTCCAGGGGCGGCTGCTCGAGGGTCCAGGGGCGGCTGCACCAGGGGCGGCTGCTTCAGGGGCCAGGGGCGGCTGCTCTGGGTCCAGGGGCGGCTGCTCCAGGGTCCAGGGGCGGCTGCACCAGGGGCGGCGTAGCTAGTGCAGGGCAGCGCGCGGGTCCCACAGGCGCCGCGACTGGCGACGGGGGGCAGCGCGCAGGCCAGGCGGGGCCGCGTCGGCGGCAGGGTGGGGCCTCGACCGCGGCAGGGCGAGGCCGCGTCGGCGGCCGTAGAAAGCAGCGCGAGGGCTGCGAAGCGACGCGCGGGGCAGGAGAAGGTAGCGCGGGGGCTGCGGGGCGGTGCGTGGGCCTGACAGGGCAGCTAGCGGGCTACGCGCGGGGCTGACGAGGCAGCAGGCGGGCTGCTAGCGGGCTGTACGAGGGCCAGCAGGGGCGAGCGCGAGGGCTGCTCGACGCAGGGCAGTGTAGGCAAGGGGCGGGGTAACTCGGTAACCGGCGGAAAATGGTTGGTGGGCCCTGAAAAACAGTCCTAAAACGGTCGTAAGGACCTATGTTGCTCTGATACCATGTCGAGAGTAAAGGGAAAAAGTTGGTGCACTATCGAGAAAGTTGGGTACAAGTAACAAAAACTATACCTTACATTAGCTACCCCACTAAAGCCTACATTTGACAGCTCTCTCAGGCGCGCTCGCTCTCACGGGCTCTAACACGCACTGTCACGCGCTCTCTCACGCGCTCTTTCACGAGGAGAGCAAAAAACAAACAAACAAAAGAAGAAGAAGAAGAAGAAGAAGAAGAAGAAGAAGAAGAAGAAGAAGAAGAAGAAGAAGAAGAAGAAGAAGAAGAAGAAGAAGAAGAAGAAGAAGAAGAAGAAGAAGAAGAAGAAGAAGGTTTTTTCAGAGGGAGGAGGGAGGATGAAAGAACCGGGAACGCACCAGATAACCACGGTAACTCAGAAAACAACCCGGGCTCGCGCACCAATCCGCGCTCGCGCACCAACTCACGCTTGCGCTCGTGCACCTGTCGCCGGAGGCGACGGCGGGGAGGAGGAAGAGGCGACGGCGGGGAGGAGGGAGAGGCGACGGCGGGGAGGAGGGAGCGGCGACGATGGGGAGGAGGGAGAGGCAACCGCGTGGAGGGAGAGGGGACGGCGGGGAGGAGGGAGAGGCGACGGCGGGGAGGAAGGAGCGGCGACGGCGGGGAGGATGGAGCGGCGACGGCAGGGAGGAGGGAGAGGCGACGGCGGGGAGGAGGGAGAGGCGACGACGGGGAGGAGGGAGAGGCGACGGCAGGGAGGAGGGAGAGGCGACGGCGGGGAGGAGGGAGAGGCGACGACGGGGAGGAGGGAGAGGCGACGGCGGGAAGGAGGGAGAGGCGACGGCGGGGAGGAGGGAGAGGCGACGGCGGGGAGGATGGAGAGGCGACAGCGGGGAGGAGGGAGAGGCGACGGCGGGGAGGAGGGAGAGGCGACGGCGGGGAGGAGGGAGAGGCGACGGCGGGAGAGGCGACGAGGAGGAGGAGGGAGAGGCGATGGCGGGAAGGAGGGAGAGGCGACGGCGGGGAGGAGGGAGAGGCGACGGCGGGGAGGATGGAGAGGCGACGGCGGGGAGGAGGGAGAGGCGACGGCAGGGAGGAGGGAGAGGCGACGGCGGGGAGGAGGGAGAGGCGATGGCGGGGAGGAGGGAGAGGCGACGGCGGGGAGGAGGGAGAGGCGACGACGGGGAGGAGGGAGATGCGACGACGGGGAGGAGGGAGAGGCGACGACGGGGAGGAGGGAGAGGCGACGACGGGGAGGAGGGAGAGGCAACGACGGGGAGGAGGGAGAGGCGACGACGGGGAAGTAAGGAAGAGGAGATCGCGGTGTGGGACTGAGTGAATGTGAGGTGAATAGGAGAGGTGAAGGCGGGTAGTGAGGGAGAGGATACGGCGGGATGGGAGCGAGAGCGACGGCTGGGTGGGAGAACTGGCGAGAAATTGGGGTGGGGGGAAGGAAGAGGAATAAGAGCAGAGCAGGTGTGCTTGTCGAGTCGAGAGGAACCAGAACAAAAGAACCAAGAAAAGAGCGCAGAAATTGAGTTGACAGCTGTGAAAGGGACGGATGCCAGCGCAGAGATAAAATTTCTGCCAGCGCAGAATGAGAATTTCTGCCAGCGCAGAACAAGACAATTTCTGCCACCGCAGAACGATACAATTTCTGCCAGCGCAGAACGAAGCACCATATACGGTGTCCTGTTTTAAGTTAAAATGAAGAACTTAATTAATTGCTTCTTTAAGCAAAATATGATTATATTGTACTCTTTCATAATGTTCCTTATACACGGAATACAGCTCTACGCTGTTGAGATAATATCGAAACGTAAGCACTTCAAGGAAATTCGTGTAGTACAGTAAAGTACCGATAGGCTGACGTCAGCAAAGCGCTACGCGCCCTAGGATGACGTCAGCACGTAGCTATAGACCTCGCGAAAAGTTACGTACCGTTTCAAAACAAGAATAGCACAGTACAGTAGGCGAACAGGTACTTTACTCTAGCTATATATTTTGTATGTTTGTCATTTTATAATATATCTGATTTCAGAGACACTGATCCTGAAACATATCACTACATAGACTTTAAGTCTAGACAAAAGCCTTCTTAACTGGCTTTAACTCATATAAGACTTCCGCTACGACAGGAAGTTACCATCCTAAGTAATACGATCCTACACATTCACTTCAAATTCTAACATGGTATTGCGAGCGTCTTAGGATACTACAAACTTCCAACTACATAGTCTACAACTATGTCTGGATCTCCACAGTCCAACAACGGCTCTTCTGTTACGAGCCCATCACGCCCAACAGCGTCTCCAGCTGCTTCGAATCTGCAACAACAACAACAACAACATCAATATCAGCAACAACCGATGTACGGCATGCCACTGAGCAATCAGCCCGTACACACAACTACAGCAGCGGCATCATCGACAGCAACAGCAGTAACAGCAGCCACAACAACTGCAGCTGCAGTCACTGGTTCTTCTAGTCAACCAGGACAACAGTCCAATTTCGTACCGACTGGACCTTATCAATATCAAGGTGCTTACCAGCCAACGAATCTTCAACAGCGTATCAATGCTGCCGTCTTGTCACTTAACCAAATGTTTCCAACTCCTATGAGCCTTGATGGTTCCAGTTATCAGCATGGACAGATGCCACAGGGAAGCGACGAGTCGAATAACTCTTTTTCTTTCGTTCCTGCTGGACAAGGACTGTTGGTGCAACCCTACGGTTTGCACTCGCCTTGTTGTCCGTGTGCGTGAATGTGTGTGTGTATGGAATGGTATGAGGGCATGGGATAATATATATTTCATGCTTATAATTGTGTGTGAATGTTGAGTCATGATGTCGAGTGTGTGTGTCGAGTCAATAGCGAGTTATCGCTAGACGCGTGTTACGCGGTCGTTTGTGTCTCGCGCGCGGTTTCTATTTTGTCGTGCGCGGTTTCTATTTTGTCCTGTGTCGAACGTTCGGCGTGTCGCAGGTGTGTGCAGCAGACCCATCAAGAACTCAAGGATGAGTTTGTGATGAAGAGCCCGAGCCTTGGTGTCAAGCCTCAAGTGATTTCGAAGCTTGCCAAAAGGGTACACCTCAAGATATTGGAGATAGTTACATTACTTTGTGTAGTGTAACATTTCACTTGGTGTAGGCCCTAGTGAAGGGTAGTTTCGAGACCCTTCGTGGTTGGGGACAGTGTGGCACTGTTCCACATCACTGTACCTCGGCTCTTGGGGTTTGTAGGAGCTGGGAGTCATTCCCAACTCGTAACTCTTCCTATCTTGTGTTCTAAGACTATAGTGGCTGCCATAGTACCGTTCGTTCAAACCGACGCTGTGTCGTCAATTCTTTATCAAATCGTGCAATCTAAATTTGAAGACGCTCCAGATCCAATTTGAATCAAGTCATTTGCAGCTGTGAGCAGAACGCTATCAACGTTTGAAGCCGCTGTGCAGAAATCCGTCTGTGCTCTCTATTTTTCGTTTTAGGCACATTCAAGCCTATTGTGACTATAACAAGGACAACAAGCACCACAAGGGTCACAGATGCCATCACTTTATCAGCTGCAATCAGCTGACGGTACCGGAAACTATCTTCCCGCTTCTGCAAACCCAACAAAAATTAAAACGACTGTGCCTTTTAACGGTCAAGACTTCTATACCTGGAGCTTTGAATTTGAGCTTCTTGTTCAGACCGCGGGGTTCTGGCAGTTGTTCGACGGCACAGCACCCTTTCCATCTCACGGGTCACCACTTCAACAGGCCACTTTTCGATCGGCGTCGCTGACTGCATACACAGTTCTCGTTCGCAATCTGACACCAACTGAACAGCTTGGCATTCGTCCTTTTCGTACCAGTGCCGCTCCCGCTGAAGCAGCTTGGTTATACCTGCAAGTGGTTCACATGGCAAAGGACACTGTCAACCAGAGTAAAATTTTGACGCAGCTGTCAAATATACAGATGATAAACGGCGAGAAGGTGACGCAGTATATTAACCGCGCTCGAAATCTGCGCGATCAACTTCAGAAGTGTGGAGGGTACTTTCCTCGACGCTATGTTCCACACGGTGCTCCTCGCGGGTCTTGGACCAGAATGGCGACAGTGTCGCTCTATACTTCGGATGCAAGCACAGTTGTCTGAGGGAGCGCTCTGTGCCGCTCTCATCGCCGAGCAACAGGATATGGACCTGCACAACGCTCGAGGAGCGAAAAAGGTGGTAAACAACACAGTCAGATTTTATTCTAATCCACGTCACAAGCCCGTTTGTTCCTTTTGTCGCAAATCAAGACACACCATTGATACCTGCTGGTCAAAGGATAAACCATCTTGGAAGCGATCTACATCGAAACATACCAAAGATTCTTCAAGTGAAGCTGAGAAGCCGGAAGCTGAGAAGCCGGACGCTGCGAAGCAGAATACTGCGAAGCCGAACTCTGCGAAGCCGACTACTACACCTACCAAGACACAAACAAAAGAAGTTATTAATTGCATGACGTCAGTTTCTACCGTCTACGATCCTGACGCTGAAGAACGTATTCATAGTAACTTCAACGATGAACTCAATACGCCTATACCACCCGAGGTCTACGCCAACCTTGCACATACCTTGGAAGGGCCCAACACTTGGTATCTCGACAGCTGTTGCGGCCAGTATATGTGTTCATCAGAAAATCGCTTCGTCATTAATCAGCGTCGTCTTCAGAATCCATGCGTTGTAACCGTCGCCAACAATCAACGTCTTAGAGCACACTGGATGGGTAACGTCATTCTTGATTCTGTTGACGAAGACTTCAGTCTTCATCTTAACGATGTACTCCTCGTTCCTCGACTTGGCTTCAATCTGATGTCATGTGCACAGCTCATGAGGAATGGCATTACTCTTCTTGGTGAACCGGGCAAGTTTACTTTAAAATATGGAGACAAGAAACTCGGCACGGCAATTGAACAGAACGGTGTGTTCGTTCTCAACTTCGTACCTGAACGCACCACTGCCGACTCCGAGAATATTCTCTCTCTTGGCCCATGGGAACATCGTGATGACATCGATTACACTGATGATACTGTTCCTTGTGATGGAGTTGTACCCACGTCTTCGACCACGGCTGTCGCTGTCATGCTGACCTTTGACAACCAAGGCTTAAGTGACGTCCAGAACTCCCGAGATTATCTTTCTCACGTTGCTGGTTGGAGAGATACGACGAATATGCCCACGGGTGAAGGCACTTGGGGGGCACAGGAACCTGACGAGACTACTTGGGGAGAAACACCTGCTGATCGTGATCAACGTCTTCTCACAGAAGCAGAGCAGCGTGTCGCAAACATGGAAGTTCTCGACTCCGGAAGACTTGTCGGTGTTGAACCTAAACCTGCAGCATCAGATCAAGAGAGCGGGGAATTAGTTCTTTCACCAGGCGAATCCATCGATGTTGAAATCAAAATTCCGCCACCTAACCTTACCAGATTTATTCCGCCTGTCACAGATCATGTTCACGCTGACGGTCATCGGTTGCTGTTGTCTTTTTTCGCTAACGCTGACTATTATCTGCGCGCACAAGGACACAAAGCAACTGCAGGCATCTGGCATAAGCGTCTTGGTCATCCGTCGCAGTCTACGCTCAACAACACAATCAAAGCAGCTGTTCTTGACAAGAATTCTCTTCTCTTACCTGGCGGCCTCGAAATGAAGCCGGTTAATCGTCCGTCACCCTGCTTGATCTGCCCAGCAGCAAATCTACCGCACGAACCGTACCCGACTCATTTTCCTGGCGCTGAGGATTATCGATTGATGGAAAAAGTTTACAGTGATATTCTAAACTTACCTGCGGAGGGTTTCAACGGCGAGAAATACGTTATCACGTTCACTGAAGCTTCTACTCGATACGTTTGGACTGGTAACATGACTAACCGTTTTCTTGCCTTCACAGCGTTTCGGACATGGCTGCCTCTATCAGAACGCGAGTCCGACACAAAACTCAAAACCTTCCAGTGTGACGGAGCTGGGGAATATCGCAGCCTCGAGTTTACATCGTACCTGCAAGAACGAGGCATACGGCGCCTGTTCTCACTTCCTCACGCTCACCAGCAGAGCGGTGTAGCTGAACGCCTCAATCGTACCTTGCAAGAAAAGATGCGAGCACTAGTCGCACAGTCTCAACTCGGCCCACTCTACTGGCCCTTCGCAATGGACCACGCAACGCTGTTGCACAACCTCCTGTCTTCATCGGCTTTACCAAACAACGCATCACCTCATTTGTTGTGGACAGGAAAGTTGGGCACTACGAAACTTCTTCGAGTTTTTGGGTGTGTTGTGCAATATCGTCCTCCCACCGCTCCGCTCGGAAAGTTCGATCAACGTGCTAAGTGGGGTCTTCATCTCGGTCTTGAGAAGCAGTTTTCTGCCTGGCGTATTATGGATTATCGCAGTCGACTTTTAATTCCTGCCCGCGACTGTATTCTCTACGAAAATCTGACCCTTCCTGTCTTCAAACAGTATCTCGCCACGCAGCGTGACCCTGCTACACTTTTCCACGGTGTTCGTTCATTCGCCAGCGCTGACGCTGAACTTGCTTCCAGCGAAGAACCTGGCATTGACGGTGCACGTGAAGCCGCCCCTGATCCACCTATACCAACCACGTCTTCCGGATTTCCGGAATTCATTCCTCTCGTCGACACTCATCCCGACG